GTAATGGTTTGATGTTCGGGAACAAAGATATTCTATCGATATTATGTTTGCGTATGATATACCGAATACGAGCGTAAGATGATTATTATACATCGTACGGGACCGCCACAAGTAGGGAAACTGCCGGTACATTCTTTAAAATATATTATGTAGCTAAAATATTTCAGTTCTATATTCAATTTTCGTATCCCTGTCTAAAGATATGACGATGGAATGAGTTTCTCTGAGCTTCCTTCTTGGCGTCACTGCGTTTTACACCTGCTAGACGGACCCACCAGCTCAGCTCATTTCATTCCAACTCCTCCTCTTCTTTGTTCTTATAGTCTAATCATATTAGCAAATTTCCCCGAAATGATTGTAAAGTCTGGTTTTATTGGTGCAAGTTGTTCAAGGAGGTATTTAAAACATGGACGCATAAAATGGGTACACCAATTTTTGTGGAAAAACTATTTAACCAATCTACTCCAATTTTGTTGTTGTTAATTATAAGTACGAATCCTATGAATTTGAAGATTTTCAAGTATCTGCAAGAAACCATCGTCGCAATACCAACAAGTGCCAAAACCTGCAGTTTGCCCCGGTTTCGGCCATAACGTTTTTTGCTATTATTCGGATATTTCTACCGGTAGTCTCATTTTGTAGGTCTCAGAAATACCTTAAAATCTTATATGAAGAGTTTTCCATTGCCGCCAACACCCAAAAAAACACGTTTTCTCATTCGTTGTTGTCGAATAAAAAGTTTACTCACAAAAATTGATGTACCCGTTGTATGCGTCCATGTTTTGAATACGCCCGTGAACAACTTACATCAATAAAACCATACTTTACAATTATTTCGCAAATCAGGGGTATTGTCGTCTAATACAGGGTGTGGCAGAGAGGATGGACGGTTTTAAAAAAATCATAAAATAGTTAATTTTTACTCGAAAACAGATTTATTGATGGAATCAGGTTCACAAGGAAATAGAATTTGAGACAGTCAAGTGTGGAAAATCACATCAGGCATGTGGTGGCCGAAATCGTTGATGCAGTGCTGGAGGCGTTCTTGGAAGTTCGCGTAGACTCTCTCCAACATCGCTCACTCAACTTGTGCGACTTTCACGCGAATTTCGCCCTTCAATTCGTCCAGAGTTCGGGACTTGTTCGCGTATGCTCTAGCCTTGAGGTGTCCCCATAAGAAAAAATCGCATATGGATAAATCTGGGGACCCAGGAGGCCAATGAACATCGCCAAACCTGGAAATAAGGCGACCAGGGAAGAGAGGGCGAATAACGTCCATGGACGCTCGGGTTGTGTGGGCGGTATCCCCATCCTGCTGGAACCACACACGTCGGATTTGAACACGTCGCCGTCGTAATTCAGGGAGAAAGAAGTTGGTGAGTTCACGGTTACATCACGACCATTACCGTCTTCGAAGATGCAATGATGCAAGTTTGCGATACAGCGCACCAAACCATTACTTTTGGGCTGTGCAGCGGTCTTTTGTGTAACTGTTGCGGATTTTCATTAGCCCAATAACGACAATTCTGCTGGTTAACGATGCTGTTTAGGTGAAAGTGGGCTTCGTCACTCATAAACAAAGTGAGGTTCTCATTTTGATCGATCAGTGCTTCCATTTCACGTGCGAAATTCACTCGTTGTGCATAATCTCCGGGCTGTAACTGTTGCACAATGGCCAATTTGTAGGGGTGGAAGCGGAGATCCATATTCACCATGACTGCGAAGTGATTCAACCCAACGAAGGATGGTGTTTCGAGAGGGAACAGCTCTATTCCGATGAATGTTGAAGTGGCGACGAAACTCACGCTGTACGACGATGGCTGACTCATTATTTCGGACGAAACAATCATAGGCGAAAACGCGGTGCTCCACCGTCTAAGGCTCCATAACGACAACTGGTAAAATAATGCTAGGATCTCACGAGTCAAACGGCACCCTCCCACCTCTCTCGTAGACGGAAGCGGAGAGTACTACCCGTCCCAAAAACGTCCGTTCTCTCTGCCGCACCCTGTATGATTAGACTATTAGCAAAGAATATAGAGTTACCAGTAGAAGAACCACTCCATGGAAAAGAAACAGATTTTGCCGCGGTGGCTGAGATGATACATCTGGTGGCTGAAATGCTACCTGCTTTTTGGATGTGATCACCCATTCATTCAGGAAATATCTTCGCATCTGCTTGGAGAAATATTCTGATTAGGTTTTTTGCACAATCGTAATAAAAAAGTGAAGCAATTGTTGATGCAATTTTAGGTATGGCAACATGCAGATTCGTTAAAAGCTATCTTTCTTGAATGAGATTGTGCAAAAAAACAATCAAATTATTTTTCTAAGCATATGAGAAGATACTTTCTTTAACTATCCAGGTAGTCGATGGCCGGCATCCGATCTCTTCGGGAGTGGGCTCGTGGCTGTTACATGTGTACAGGGCGATTCACTATGACAAATTGGTGCTGCGTGCTTAGATGCAAATAAAGGTAAGAATGGTGACAAAACAAAGTGCCATCTGTTACCGGAATCGACCACTGAGCTAGTGAAAACAATTCGCAGTGGTCTATTCTGGTAACAGATGGCACGTTGTGCTGTCTTATTCCGGTAGGCCTTATACATACGATGAACAGGGATAATTGCCCAACTTTGGTTCATTGACCTACCTGACCAGTTGCCAATTTGCACCAAACAGCTGCCCATGGTTGGCCGTCAGTTGGACGAATGGATGAAAGCCGTACCTTTTACTAGTTTGATATATAGATTTTTTCAGTGTTACTAGTCGTACACCTCCTGCAGCATATTCTTTATAGTTTATAAAAGTCTCGTTCCATTTCTTTCACATTTTTTTCTATACTTTAATACAAATATTTCCCTAACTACAGATAAAGAAAATAAGAAAAACAATTTGTTTGTTACTTAACTCACACACCCATTTAGAAACTGGTGACCAGTATATTCCAAGTATTTAACAAGATTGGCACAGTGGTCGCTGAGGTTACGTAATAACAAAGAATACAGTACGACAGATGAATCATTGCCAGTCACATCGCATTTTTTTAAGAAAGATATATTTGTCATCCATTGTCTATGTCATCAAAACAGTAACGACATAAATTGCCCTGTAGAAAAACAATTACTCGATGCCATTACGGACAATTTTTTGACAACCTATTCCGTATGTGCACCAAAGTTCGAAACACTACTATTAAGCAATAAAAAGTGGACCTAAAAAAATGCATGCGAGTAATACTGATAACTCTGTATTCTTTGGTTCTGAGGGTATTGAGAATATTCTGCAAATCTTTTTGTTTCAAAATTTTGAAAAGACTTCCTTTTATAGTAGTCGTAGTGTACCTTTTATCTAAGTTCTAGGCTTCGCGACTACGATGATATGAAATAATTTTTAAGACCCTATAGGTTATGGCATATTCGGAATCTAAGATTAATTTAAACTAAATGCACACATTTTTGAGTTCATTTTCCAATTGTTGGAAATAATCACTCATCCACCAAAGCTGGTTCTGTCTATTGAAATGTCGTTTTTGGTCCTTTTCCCCTTTTTCTAAGTCCACTGACGTATTAAAATTGTTATCCAGGTTTCTCTAAAAACATCGTTCACATTATCCTATCAATAAACGCAGATTGACATTTGGGTCACATGTTAGTTATTGGCCTAAAATCAGTGCCAATACCTTGGTTTGCTTGCATTAACTTTTGGAAAGTGTTTTGTTTGTGAAAAGTCCCTAATATTTTGACTTAAACAGTATAGATAAAAGAATAACTTCCATCCGGTATACAGGGTTTGTCCGGAAAGTAATAGGACTCATTTTCTTCCGCCATGACTGTACTTCGGAGCATGCGCGTACCGACTGGATTCGGTAGAGGGCGTTCCTAGCTAACGAATGAGCGGCTGGTCAGTTATCTCCGAGCACTTGGAGAGTCAGGACAGGCATTTTTGCGCGACGTGTTTCTGTGAGTGGTGCAAGCCGAAAATGTAGCGTTCGTTAGAGCAGAGGTACGCGATTAAATTCTGTGTGAAACTCGGTAAATCTGCATCAGAGACGTTTGATTTGATCTGGGCTTACCCACCGATAATGTGACTCGTGTGCGCAAAGTTTTGAACTCAGACTGTCGACTAAGTATTCTTTTAATTGCTCAGATGCTAAATTTACCAAAATCTGTGGTTCATGACATTGTGACACAGCATTTGAATATACGCAAGGTGTGCGCGAAGATGGTCCCAAAAGTGCTCACTGACGACCAGAAATTGCGGCGAGTGAAAGTGTGCCAAGAAAATTTGAACATGTGTGAAAGTGACCCCCATTTTTTGAATAACTTAATCACAGTTGACGAGTCGTGGATCTTTGAGTATGATCCAGAAACAAAGAGGCAATCTTCCGAGTGGCACACGACGGCGTCTCTTCGCCCAAAAAAGGGAAGAATGAGCAAATCCAAAGTGAAAACGATGCTCATTGTCTTTTTTGACATCAAAGGCATCGTCCAGTGCTCAGGAGACTCAAACGAAGGGTCAGTCGGGTCCGACAAGACATCGCAGCCGACTGGAAGTTGCACCACGACGACGCCCCGGCTCACACCGCCTTTCTTGTGAACAGCTACCTGACCAAGGCCGGCATCCCAACGCTTCCGCAGCCGCCCTACAGCCCAGATGTGGCCCCCGGACTTTTTTTTATTTCCTCGCCTGAAAAGGCCCATGAAAGGCAAGCATTTTGAGACGACAGAGGGGATCCAAGCAGCATGCACCGCGGCTCTCAAGGCTATTCCAGAGAACGCCTTCCGGGACGTCTGCAATGCTTGGAAATCGCGCTGGCAGCGCTGCATCGACGCAGAAGGAGCCTACTTTGAAAGTTTTTGAAGAATTGTAACGATTGGCTCAATACATTTTTTTAAATCGACTCAGTCCTATTACTTTCCGGACAAATCCTGTACATATTGATAAATATTTGATATATTTAATTTTGAAGTCAAATATAAGTTGCTTATGCACCTACCTGCTGCCATTTTAGTCTCTTCTCTGTTGCCCCTCTTGTATCCAACTCCTGTGTAAACATAGTTCCAAACTTGGTCGTCTGGTTATTGGTGATTCAAAAGTACTCATTATAAGTCCTAACACTGTTATCACTGTTTCATAATAGTAACATATTTTGCAACAAAATGTCTCTGCTTATATCCGTGCAGGTATTTGAACACTTAACTTTTTGTTTTCACAAACTTTCCAAGATTAACTTGACATTTGAGAAGTTTACGATGTCGTATTCAATATAAGTGCTAGATGATAACTCCTGACGACGGTTTATCTGGTGAAAATTTTATATTTGAATGTTTCAAATCAATTAAGCAATATTTGAACGTTTGTATGAAGAAGGATCGATTTTGATTCATAAATAGTTGTTTGAAGAAAGGAAATGTGGTTAACTTTCATCTGCAGCAGGCGCTGCCTGTTATTATGACAAAGGTTTTCAATACTTGTCTGGTACAAATACAGCCAGGAGGAATCGGACAGCGACCTTCTGTTGCGCCTGTCAGTGAACTTCACAGTCGAGCAAGTTCGCAAACACAAAAGGCCACTGCTCGCACTGCAATCAAAATTAATTCGTGAATTTAGAACAACCAAAATTAAAAACAATAAGACAGCGCAAAGCAAGCAAAGCGCGATCTATCACACCAGAATCGACCACTGCACATGCTTAGTCAAAATTGAAGCATTTTGACAAAATCCTCACAAAAATCAAATATTTTTAGACCATATCAAAAGTGATTTTAACAATGCCTAAACGCTCTCTGTTCTAAAAGATTCTCTTCTTCTCCTTTGCTCTCTTCCTCCCTTCTTTCCTTCCTTAAAATTGCCTGGTTTCTAGGTTACCAGACCTGGTAGTCACTATAACACAAGAGGTAAGGTCCTATGGACCGCTCTGTCAACCAACGATGAATTGACTGACTTGATGACGTGAAAGAAATGTCTCAAGTGACAATAATTCCCTCAGGCGTACCTCAGGGCTCTGTATTGGGGCCGCTGCTGTTCCTCATATATACGTTCGACTTAAGCAAAAGTATTGATAATTCTCATGTCCAGTCATTTGCAGACGATACGCAATTGCTTCATTATTTTAACCCAGATTATGTCAATAATACTATTCAAATTTTACAAAACGATGTTAATAAATTAATTAAATACTCTTTAGATCACAATCTACTTATTAATCCACAAAAATCTAAAATGTTATTATTTTGCGCACAAAGAAAAACATACAATGTAACACAGCTCTTGAACATTCAGATAAATAACCAAATCTTGCAATTTTCTGATTCTGCAAAAATTCTTGGTGTTGTTTTTGATACAAAATTAAGGTTTACTGAACATGTTAAAAGTCTATCTCAGAAAACCTACCTACGGCTGCGCACTCTTATAGCAAACAGGTATTTACTAAATTTTAAGTTGCGTAAACAACTACGTGAAGCATTGGTCATATCTATTCTAAATTATTGTAATATCGTATACTATACTTGTTTAGACAATTTCACTAAAAACGTTATTCAAGTTATTCAAAACAATTGTATACGATTCATTTTTGGCTTACGTAAATTTGATCATGTATCAGCGAAATATCCCGTTCTAAACTGGTTAAAAATTAATGACATGGTCAAGTATCACTATTCAGTTTTTGTTCACAAGTTGCTGCTCACGTCTAAACCTTATTACTTAAAAGAAAAAATTTCATTTAATAATGATGTTCACTGTAGAACTCTCAGAGAAAATAATATTAGAATACCCCTGCATACGTCTACACTTTTTAAACGCAGTTTTTCTTACAATGTTGCTATTATTTATAATGACCTTTCTAAAGTATATAAAGAATTTTCATTACCTGTCTTTCGACAAAAAGTTAAAACATTATTACTCAACCCTCCAAACATATAATTTACGTAATCATTCATTTCTTTTTTATTCCATCTTTAATTCAGATTAATAATTTTTTGGTGCATTTGGGTTTGGAAAGTATGCCTTTTTCTATTTTTTAAATTTTACTTTCAATGTAATGAACCAAACTTGTTTGTGGATAGTGTATTCTTTTGAACATCTGCTAGAGACTATATGGTTAAGTGTAAGAGTAGCAGCATGCTAAACTTCGCCATGTAAGTCTGACATTTGGCTATACTACAATGTAATTGTGGATAAATAAAGACGTCTATTATTATTATTATTATTATTATTATTTACAGGATACATGAATACATTAATTGGGGTAGTTTGTACGATATTTGATGCCAAATATGTTTTTATTCGAAAAACCTGAATTCATGAAATGTGTACTGTACTAAAGGCATCTCTCTTCCCCCAATGTTTGCTTTCGAATCCAACTCGGAATCTTTCGCCTCACACATCTCCTGACACTGTGCCGTGCTGTTCTATTTGGGGAATGTTCTGTGCCAGCGGGAGTATATGGCGCAAACTTTTTATCTAATTACAGGAAACGGTGTTAGGGAATTTAGCGCATACACAGCGAACTTCCAAAGACGAGGTACTAAGTGCGCGGCTAACTGGATAACTCTGCTAATGTGATAAAAAGTTGTGGTTTCGAAACTCCCCGGCATGCATGCAGCTCATCTGTGGATAGTGTTAGTGGAGGTCCGTTGGACGTAAAAATATGAAAACCTTGGGTCCCAGGTGCACTGCCTGGACTTTTGAGATTTGTAGTGGAATGCATTTGAAATACAGTAAATATACTTCAATAGAAAAGTTTACCTATTATCATTATCATTGTGCGCTTTTTGATTTTTATTATTTTTTCAAATATCAACATTAGATGAAATGAACTTGAACATTCTGAATCTCATTAAGGAAACCGTAAAATACATAAGCTGAAATGAGCTTTCACTTTCTATGCCAAGACAAGTATAATCGCGAAAATTTTCGAAATTGAGATCAATGTTTTTTTAATATTATATGACGTGTACATCACGAAAAACTAAATGTCTCATTTCTGTCTGTCAGTTTTATTTTTATATATATGGCTTGAAAAGTACTGTTCGGCTTTTGATTTTCACTCAAGGTCAAGAGTGAAAAAGCTTTAAAATTTTTGAAAATCTGTTTAGTGCTAGCGGAGATAGGGACAAAATCACGTAAAAAATTAAAATCTCATAAACTTTGTTTTTGACGTTTCATAGGGTTCTGATCATCTTCGGAAATTTTTGGTAGGAGTTGATACTTGAGGGCTGGGGGTTGTAAATGTAATGTCTATACGTTCTGACATCAAGAAGCGTTTGACCCCGGTAACAACGGGAAGATCAAAGTCCGATGTGAAATGTGCTCACAATTCGAAATACCCGGGCAATCTTTGGCGACTGCCGACTGTGCAATGGGTAACAAACTCCAACTGGTCTGCGGTGGTGTCGTCCTAACAGTCCACTACAGGAGAGCGGGTGGAAAAAAATGTGGTCCATTATAAACTTGAATAATAGTATATACAGGGTGTTAGGGAAATAATATTCACAACTTTAAGAGGTGATTCCTTGCATTATTCTAAGCAAAAAAGTTCATTATAACCTATGTCCAAAATGAACCGTTTCGGAGCAGAAAAACTTATTTCTTTTTAGTCATGAAATAAATTAATTTTGCACCTTAATAATTTAAATAAAGGGTGTCTCATAAATATTTTCTTATTTTATGCCATAAATAAAAATACTTAGAATATTTTTACAAAGATAAATTTATTACCAAACGAAAGCCTAAACATTAATTTTATTTATGGAAAAGAGTATCGGATAAATGAGCAGCGTTCATGTTTTCACACTCTCTTAATCTCGAACTGAAGTTTTCGATCACTCTCCGAAGCATTGCTCGAGGAATGGCGTTTATTTCATCTGTTATTTTTTGCTTCAACTCTCTCAAATCTTGTGGCGGTGGGGTGTATACCTTACTCTTCAGGTATCCCCATAAGAAAAAATCTGCTGGTGTCAAATCGGGACTTCTCGGTGGCCAGTTAATGTCTCCTCTGCGACTGATGACCCACTCTGGGAATAACTGATGAAGAGCATCCAAGGATTCATTCGTGACATGAGAAGTCGCTCCATCTTGCTGGAAAAACGTGTTTCTATTGTAGCCACCATGGTTCTGTATAGCTGGAGTTAAAAAAGTCCTAATCATGTGGCAGTAGCGCTCAGATGTTACAGTTTGAGCTTGGCCACGATTGTCTTCAAAAAAATACGGGCCAATGATTCCTTGCCCTGACATAGCAGCCCAGACGATAACTTTAGGCGAGTGTAATGGCGTCTCATGAAGATTTTGCGGGTTCTGCTCGGCCCAATATCGGCAGTTTTGTTTATTAACATGCCCGTTAATGTGAAAATTCGATTCATCAGAAAACCATATGTTGTTGTAACCGTTAAAATGCTCTCTCATTGTTCTACAGAACTCTAATCGATTAGCGAGATCTTGTGGTTTTAATTGTTGTGTAACAACAATCTTGTATGGGTGAAAATGCAAATCCTTGCGAATAATGCGATGAACAGTTGACTTATGCAAAGTTAGAGACGCTCCACGCAGTCTTAATGATTGCCGGGGATCCTCGTTAACGGACTGGCGCACACGTTCAATATTTTCGTTCGATCTTGCTGACCTTGGCCGTCCAGGCGGTTTACTAATACACGTGTTTCCAGTGCTCTCGAACTTTCTTACCCAATATTTAATTAAATTTGCGCTTGGGACATCTCTCATTCTTGCTATGTTATAATGATTTCTGTACAAACGACGTACAAGCACATAAGAATCCTTGTTTTTATAGAACTCGCGAACACAAAAAGCACGTTGCGGCCCTGTAAAACGCTCCATTGCAACTAAAATTTAACAATGTTGCCAAACGTTTGTCAACTGTCTCGTTTCTCCGGAGCATGCGTATTCCGCCAGAGGACTGATCTAAAAACGAAAATATTTCTGAGACACCCTTTACATATGCCTAATAGCGTAAAATGTATCAATACGTCTATTCATTAATTAACTGTCTCTAACAAAATAATTTTCTTGCTTATTAAATACCATTTTCCGAAGAAAAACAAACAAAACAAAATCCCTCACACAACTGGCAACGTCGTACTCCGTCTGCACTGCATATATTATATCATCGCGTGTTGTTGTGATTACTAATACATTTAACTGTAACTTTATGTGATTTACGGATGTTGATTTTTTCTTTTTTCGTACATCCCATCGTTTCAAATAAGTGACTGATAATCGTGGGAATTGGTGGTGTGTATCGCCACGTACCGGTAAGTTCTGTCTTTTTTTTTAAGTAAATGTACTGTACTGA